TAATATAATATAAAGGCACGTTAAAACTGTTTTGTGCGTATTATATTACAGATACCCATTGGACAACGACAAAATTATATTACGAGGTTGCGTGCTGCGAAATACGCAATGGTGCTATGGTGTGGTCATCTTTGCAGGCAAGGATACCAAATTAATGCAAAACTCAGGGAAGACCAAATTTAAGAGGACTTCTATAGATAGGCTGCTGAATCTTCTCATCATCGGGATAGTGTTCTTTTTACTTTCTATGTGTTTGTTCTGTATGATCGGCTGTGGTATTTGGGAGAGTCTTGTGGGCCGTTATTTTCAAGCGTATCTACCATGGGACTCGTTGGTGCCTAGCGAGCCGATGGGAGGTGCAACAGTGATCGCTCTGCTTGTGTTCTTTTCTTATGCGATCGTATTGAACACAGTGGTGCCAATCAGTTTATACGTGAGTGTCGAAGTTATCAGATTCGTTCAATCGTTTTTGATCAATTGGGATGAAGAGATGTACTATGCACCTACGAACACACACGCTAAAGCAAGGACTACTACATTAAACGAAGAGTTGGGACAAATAGAATATATATTTTCCGATAAAACCGGAACGTTAACGCAGAACATCATGACTTTTAACAAGTGTTCTGTGGCAGGAAAATGTTATGGGGACGTTATCGACGAAGTTACCGGGGAAGTCGTCGATTTAAGTGAGGTGAGTCTGTTTGTCTCTTTATCCATAACCAGACTCGATGCGGATAATGGGGTACGTCATTACCAGTTTGTTAAAATGAAGAAGTCGGTCGTCTTTTTTACTAGCTTTATAATGTTTTGTAAATGTGACATGTTATTTTTAAGTTGAACATTTTTGTTATCGTTGCAACGAGACTTTACTGTGATTTATAATTTTCATTACATGTCAATTATTGTTTGAGTTCCTTCATCATGTACATGTTTTATATCAAGAAATATAGATAATTTATTGATTTGGAGCGGCAACAGTTTGTTTCTTGGAAACAGTTTTGCTTGAATATAAATTTTCCGTTGTACTTTTCAATCACAAATGTTTACATTCAATAAATTTAATCATCTAGCATTTGAAATATCCACACATCAGTTTCATTCATTTCACACTTGTTATCAAAGAAGAATATGATTATTTGAAAATCACTTTTACATTATGAAGTGAAGATACAATGTACCAATGTTCAGTAAGATTTGTTAATCCGATCATTTCTTCTTGGTAACAAAAAAGCAGACAAGTCATCTCACAGTTTGGCCATATTTTGCATAAGATTTCATGTACATCACTTAGCATGTGTGTGCTGCATGTAGACGAACAAAGCTGCCCCAACACCTACGATGCGATGGAAAAATGGACAAGAATTTGTTCAAGTATATACACCTAAAAGTGGTCCAAACGTACGTCTACTGGAACAAGTGGACAGGATATCCAATATAATTGGAGAGCCAGGCCCCATTGGCAGTCCGATGGTTCCACATAAACTTTCTGTACGCATGTTAATAATTAACACATCTCTTTTATAAACAAAAGAAATTTAATGCACTATTCAGCTTACCTTCTTCTGCTGTCCTATTTGCATGCTATGCTTATTTAGATATGTCGTAAAGGGATTATATGTGCAATAACTAATGTTTTGGTTTTATAAGTAGCAAACAATTACTAACTGTTGCTTTCTAACCGTTTCCTCTATTTTTCAACATGCGTTAGATGTACATTGCATGATGTCCTACTTTTTGTTTATAATTAGATCCATGTATTCCTAAAGTGCTTAAATCTTGAACACTAATTTTCACAATGCTTTAAAGGAATTATAAAATTATAACATCTCATATGTGCCTGCTGACTTGCAACAAATCTATTTATATGGAGGCAAGGTATTTATTTTAATTTCTAGTACTTCCGTTTTCCATGTTTACTATCTTTTGTGTATCATACTAACACATAATGGAGTATAATAAATCAGTTTTAAATGTAATTTAATGTACGTTTACAGACAATGCCAGCATTGGATTTCTCCTTCAACAAGGATTACGAACCAGAATTCAAATTCTACGATTCTGCATTACTCGAAGCTGTGAAAAAGAATAACGAAGATGTTCATAGCTTCTTTCGATTGTTGGCACTTTGTCATACTGTTATGCCGGAAGAAAAAAGTGGCAGGCTAGAGTATCAGGCACAGTCGCCGGATGAGGCTGCCCTTGTATCTGCCGCTAGAAACTTTGGTTTTGTATTCAAAGAAAGATCTCCAAATAGTATTACAATTGAAGTTATGGGGAAGCGTGAAATATACGAGCTGCTTTGCATTTTGGACTTTAATAATGTTAGGAAAAGAATGTCTGTAATTTTGAGGAAAGACGGACATCTTAGACTATATTGCAAAGGAGCGGACAATGTTATTTACGAGCGATTAAAAAAAGGCAGTGAGGATATAATGGCAAAAACATTGGATCATCTTAATAAATTTGCGGGTGAGGGCTTAAGAACATTGTGCCTTTCGGTCAGAGATCTAGATGAACAATTTTTCAATGATTGGAAACAACGTCATCAAGAAGCTGCCATGAGTCAGGAAAACAGGGATGATAAATTGGATGCAATATATGAAGAAATAGAAAAGGATATGACATTATTAGGTGCTACTGCCATTGAAGATAAGTTACAAGATGGTGTACCTCAAACTATTGCTAATTTAAGTTTGGCTGGTATAAAGATCTGGGTATTAACTGGTGACAAACAAGGTATAATAAATTATGATAATATAAAGTCATGCACAATACACACACACACACACACACACAAGCAATACATATATTAATAATATTATAACGTACTTGGATATTTATGTTGTTTTATATTTTTATACAGAAACAGCTATCAATATTGGCTATTCCTGCCAGTTGCTGACAGACGACCTTACAGATGTTTTTATAGTAGATTCCACTACCTATGATGGTGTTGAAAATCAGTTATCGCGATACTTGGAAACTATTAAAACAACTTCCGGTCATCAAAATCGGCCAACTCTCTCCGTTGTCACATTCAGGTGGGACAAAGAAAGGTCAGGCACATGAAAGAGACGGAGTACCAATCATTAACCTTTTCCATATTTCAATCTGACTAATTAACGCATTTATTTTAAAAGTTTTTTTTTCATATTGAGTGTAGCATCATGTTCTGTGTAATGCTTTTTTCGTCTGGTTATGCCTAAGAATTTATAAATATTTCAGATCTAGATTTTCTTCCTTTGACATTAAGTTAAGATAATGAGATTCAAAGTTCAATATAAAAAAACCAATAATCAGAATTATATCTTCTTAATAATATTCCTATTAAATACCAATTAATTTGAATATACTTCAGCATGCAATAATTATGACATTACAAAAGTATTGATAAATTAAATTGCACCAATATATTATTTCAATTCAATTTATCATACATGCAAGAATATAAATTTTATCACATTTAAATTTAAAACTTAAGTTTTATTGACTATACAGTTAAATATATGTTTGCATGCATATTTAAAATATTTATACATATGTTACATACAAATGTTACATACAAATGTTAATATTCCATATGATTGTTTTTTTCTCAAGTTTTCTTTTATTATAAGAAAAATATATAAATTATTAATCTCGTGCTTGTCGACTATAACGTAGATATTTGAGTATATATATA